CGGGATCCTTTCCCCACCTGGAATCCCATTCCCCCCGTGGAATCTCACCCCCGCCATGGAATCCCATCCCCCCGGATCCCATCCTCCCTGGAATCCCATTCCCCACCCCCAGGATCCCATCCCCACCTGGATGGTTGGGAATATTAGCCGTGACTGTGTGATTGAGAACTCCAGGTTCTGGAGTTCTCAAGAAAACCCAGTTCTCCGGGACCATCCCTTCTCTCTTTCCTTTATTTTTTCCCCTCCAACCCAGAAAGGGGAAAAAAGAAAAGAAAAAGAAAAATGAACACAGCCTGTTTGAACAGTTTGTACAATTATTTAACAAGGAAAGAGCTGGATGGGTGCCTGCAGTCGAAACAATGTTTTGGCTCGTGAAACCGGAGAGACAACAAAGCCGTGTGGGGTGGGGACTGAAAGCCGGTTGGCGATGGATCTGCTGCGAGTGTGGAGGAGACCCCAGAGCAGGCAGAGCATGTGTGCCCGTGAGGGAAAGTCCAGGCGTGTCTGTCGGTGGTGCACCCCCTCTTGCTTGTAGGAGGAAAACATGGGGGATGCAACAGTCCAAATGACAGGAACACCTCTTGCGTTTCAAAATTACTTGACAGGTGGTTACCTTTGCAGCTGGAGTCAGGCCTGTGCTTGTGGGGAGCGAGAGGCTAGCTGCCTGTCACTGGTTTTTGGTGGGGCCAGGAAGCCACGGCAGGAGGGACTGGCCCTGGAGCGTTGTCCACTCAGCCTCAGATTTTAAGAAACACGACAAGCTCTCATGAATATCCCCTTCCCACAAAACACAATCACCAAAAAGCTGGGAAGCTGAAGCTCTTACCCTGACTGTTCCACAAAAGCAAAGTCACAGAACTGAGCAACCTCAGTGACCCTGTGGTTTGAGCCCTTGTTTCCTAGATGGAGGCAAGTGTGGAGGGTGTGGACAGGGTGCCAGTGGGTCAGAGCATGGCCTCCCCACTGCCCACAGGCCCGAGCTCGCAGGTCCCATGAAGCTCCAACGGCTGGTTCTGTTCTCTCCTGACCAAAATTGGAAAGTTTCTAGGACTTAGTTAACAACTTAGTGGTAATTACTTCAGTAATGTGGAACACACATGCACACCTTGTCTTACCACCCTTCTATTTACTGCGTTTCATGGATACCATGCTTCTTACATATTGAAGGTCTGGGGCCACCCCACATCAAGCAAGTCTATCGGCACATAGTTTTGTCAGAAGTAATGCCACTGCACACTTAATAGACTGCAGTCGAGTGTAAACATAACGTTTATGCACTGGGAAACCGGAAATCCATGTCATTCGCTTTATTGCAGTGGCCTGGAACTGAACCCACCGTATCTCTGAGGTGTGCCACATGTACACACACACACACACACACACACACACACACACACACACACACACATTTACTTATACATATAAAAATACACACGCGCCCCCAAGCTGACCTGGACGCGTGGACAAAGCTATTTGACAAGCACGTGGAATAGATGCCTTGAGGAAGAAAATCTTACTCTGTTTCATCCCCTTTCCTGCTCGAGCTGCTGGGGCCCTGGCTGAGTCTAGTGTCCCCGTAGGAGCCCTCTCTCCCCATCCAAGGGCAGGGGAACCTAACGGCTGCAACCCCAAGCTCCAGCTTCACAGCCTTGGGCAGTGAATCCATCCCTCAGGGCATCAGTGCCAGTGTGAGGGGTCGGGGGGTGGGGTGGCCTGGTGATAGAGTTGAGGATGGAATCAAGTAGGAGGATGATGCATGAAGATGTTTTAGGCAAAAACCTGGAGAAACAGGAAACGTGGATCAGGTTGGCTGACGCTAGTAATTAAGGCACTTCCCCTAACTCAGCTCACAGCTGAGAGGTAGAAACTTAGAGATGAGAATGATTTTTAATTGTTTATTACATGTTAAAGTACCTTTGAAATGCTTGGAAAACCTTATTTTCTATCAGCGGATTAGTCATCCCCCTTTGTAATATGTGCTGTATTGAAGACCCTGTTTTCATACATTATTCAAAGATAAACCTCCAAATTAATGCACTTGTCATAATACCTCTCATGAGCGTTGCCAATGCAGTGCTATTAATGTGCATCCAGATGCCGTGGACGTCGGGGAAGGGGTGTGTGTGTGGTGTGTGCATGTGTGGTGTATATACACATCAGGGAGGAAGGGAGGTGACAGAAGCCAGGGTGATTCCTCCTGGAAGTCTCCTGTTTTATCTTCAAACACTGAGGGTAGGCGCCTGTGTTTGGTTGAAGTGAAGGCCCTGCCCCTCCCCATGAGGTTTCACCTCTCAGGACCACCGGGTTCACCCCCTGCAGCCTCATGTCCTTGGTCCGCATTCATCTCTGCGTGGCGCTGGAGCCTGAGCCCCAGTGTGAAGGGTGGAGCTAGGTCGGGGTCGGCCCGTCAGAGGTTCAGCCTGCAAGAGGATGGTGCCTGCGAGTCCACACGCAGACCAGCCATCCTCAGGGTGGGTTTCGGCTGAGTGTATGGGAAGATGCAGGTTTTTCATTCTTCTTGTCCAGGAGGGCAACTCTGAATGCGATCTTCCTTGAATGCTGAGAAGGAGCCAGTCACTGCCCCAGCCCATCCCCTCCGTGCCCACCACTGACCCAAGGGCATGATTGACTGGGTCACATGAGGAGGGGCCGAGAAGCCCACTCCCTGTCAGGCCCGCAGAACAGCACTGGGGTCTGGAGGGAGGGAGGGAGACCCGCCTGCCCCACTGGCCTGGTCCTTCCAGGACGCGTGGGGCCCAGCTGGGAGAGAGGCCATCTCCTGTCTGCTGCCGAGCCTGACCCAGGAGCTGTCAGGGTCAGACCTGCGCCCGACCACAATGCCAGGACCAGGTGTCCCGAAGCCCGCATGGCCGCAGCTGCCACAGCCATCCCCTGAGCACCACCTCGGACCCTCCTTCCTGAGCCAATGGAGACTCCAGGCCCTGGGCTCGATCCCACTGGCCAGGCCCAACCGGATCCGATGGCCAGTTCTCTGTATCTCCTACCTACAGACGTGGTGCCGGGAAGTCTGGCAGCGTGATGACCAGAGAGATGCTGGCCCTGAGGGGGCATCAAGAAAGGAGACGCAGCTGGTGACACACAGGCACCTGCACTCACCTGGGGCCTGGCTACCTGGAGGCGACAGCCGAGGACTGGCCCCCACGTGGCCCATCCATGTCCAAGCAATGGCAGCGGGAAGCCCACCTTGACTTGGAAGAATGTCTCTCACCTGGAAAGTGAAAGCCCAGCCACAGCCAGGCCAATATAAAAGTCTGCTCTTTCCCCACAAAATGCAGTTCTTGTATGCGTTGGACCTTTGACTGTAGCACTGCCTGTGCTGACGCTTTCTGTCAAGCAGGGTGGGTTCTCCCAGGAATCAGGAGAGGGTCGATGTGACAGAAGCAGAGGGAAATAATTCCATTTCACATTTTCCTCCCGTGTCTCTGACTCAGACGTTCCTCTCTGTGCCTGGCGGTCTTCACTTTGCCAGCGATGGTCCTATTACTGCCGCGGGTGGTGTTTATCTCATGTCGTTTGAGGTTATTTGCCTCTTTCTTTCCTGATTTCCACAACAGAAGGACACGTGTGACTGTCTGGAAATCTGAGGCTGCCCACACGGACCTTCGACACGTGTGGTCATGGATGTCTTGTCGGGTTCGGCGAGGACAGGAGAGTTCCCAGGGTCAAGGCCACAACCACCCACGGGGACACAGGATACGTGGCCTCTGAGGCTGCCTTGAGGGAAGGCACTTGGCATCCAAGTCAGACGTTTTCTGGGGGGACTGTGGTGTGAGCCCCAGGTCGGGCACAGTGGGTCACAGACCCCTCACACCCCCTGCTCCCCTCCTGCAGGGCTGAGGGCCCCACCCTGTGCCTGTACAGAGAGACAGATGGACAGAGACAGACAGAAATAGAGGGGCAGCGGCGGGGTGGGTGGGGGGCCAGGTGAGCCACTAAGGGGACTTCAGTCCACTGCTGACTTTTTTTTTTTTTTTTTTCCCCCAAAGCAAAACTTTCTCAATGAAGGAAGCAGCAGGGCATTGATTTACATCCTAGAGTAGGTTTCTTTTTCCCTTGCTGACTGATAGCAAAGAGCTCACAGAGCAGCATTTTGAATAGCAGCAACCTCGGGCAAGTTACTTAACCATTCTGAGGCTGTTACCTCATCTGTAAAATAGGGATAATGATTCCTCCTAAGTAATAGGCCTGCTGTGAGAATGGAATGAGATAGGCATGTCGAGCGCTTAGTGGGATGCCTGGTGCATATCAGGTACTCAATAAATGAAAGCTATTATTAAGCAAGATAAGGTAGTCCTAATACTACCAGATGATGTTAACGCTGTTATCTGAAACAACAATGAAAACAAAAACTTGTGTTCAGGAAACAAAGGGATCAATGGTTAAATAAGTTTAGAAAGCTGATTGAGCTCTGGGGGACAGAAGGAATTCATCCTAGATGTATGCTCTATTTCTGACTCTTTGGGACCAGAGCTATTTTATTTTTGGTTCACCAAAGCCATCAAACACTGTGTTTAATAAACGCGTGGAAAGGCTGAAAACAGATTTTTCCCATCCTGTCATCAGTAGACTCAAGACTGACCCTGGTGGGATCCTCCCGGACCGGGGCACACCCGTGTCCCCTGCATCGGCAGGCGGACTCTCAACCCCTGCGCCACCAGGGAAGCCCCACTGCTGACTTTTAACATGTGCCTTTCCCAGGCTGGCCCTTCACACACGGTGGGGGGTAGGTTTCCTGCAGAGCTACTCCCAGCTCTGACATGTATGAGCCTCTGAGCTATGACTGGCAAAAATAACAGTTATTTGGAGAATGAATTCCAGAGTGGGATTAAAGGACCCACTAATTCTTACACCCTCGTATGAACTGTCCACTGGAACTGCCTCCAGTGTACAACACACACATTTTCAGAATCAGATTGCTTTTATCACACAGTAAACATTCTCTGACCAACTCCTGCACCCAGAACCCTGGGAGCACCCCAGCAGCTGGGCCGCCACTCTTCCCTAGGACTTAAAAAGGCAACGGCAGCTGTTCCCTCTTCAGTGGTCACAATCAGTCACTTTAAAACAAAGCACTCGATCTGGAGCCTGCAATGTTCACAGATTGCGCTGAAAGTTTTTGTTCATTGTCTCCACTGATCCTGGAAAAGTCCCGTGTGGGCCGGCTCTGTTTGTGCACCGCTCAGCCGCCAGCACCCGGAGTCCTGCCCACACTTTTCCCTCCCGCCTCTAGGGATGGACCACCCGGTACAAACGCCTTCTGGAGTCGGCGGGGCCTGCGCAGCTGACAGGACAAAACCCACCCCTGGAGAGCTGGGGAAAAGCGTCCCCTGCAAGAATGGGCTCCCGACGATGTGGGATCAGCATGACCTTTGCCCACATGTGCATGAGAAGGGCCATCTGTCGTGCTGGCCGCCGTGTGAGGCTAGGCATCCAGTTCCCTTTTGCATGTCCTGTGCAGACACCAGATCGGCCCAGTGTGCCCCCGGCGTACCCAGATTAAGGGTTAAGGTCGGCAACCTGCCCCAGGGGGGCCCAGGGAGCAGCCAGGCCAGGAGGGCAGGCAGAGACTAGGCCTTTCCCTGTCCCCACCTCAGGGTGAGCCTGGCATTCGGCCACGGGCTGAGGAGCAGAGCCCTGGGCTGGGGAGATGCGTGGGTCCTGCAATACCCAGACTTGAGGAAGCAGGTAGGGGGCAGCTTCCCCAGTCTTCCAGGAGCGAGCCTTCTCAGCCTCTAGACTGTCCACCTCTGGGTTATTCTCTCTGACGCTGGGTGTGTGGAACCTATCGACTCAATGGAGGAGAAAATGCGAATCATTTCCTGGGTCAGGGAGGGGGCTGCAGAAGGAAACGTGAACTTGTGGGATCAGAGCTACTGTAAGAGGATCGCATGGACCTGGCAGGGACCTGGCAAAGGGGCGTGGGGTCCAGCAGAGCCAGGCTGGCAAACCTCAGCAGCACCAGACCAGCAAGGCAGGGTCCCCCCGTCGCCACCCCTCCTCGGCCCGAGACTGCATCACGGGAACCCGTGTGTCTCCACCCCTTCTTTCTGGGGGTCCTGGAAGCCCAACTAATGAAATAAGCAGGGAAGTTGGGCCTTGACAAGATGCAGCTTAGAAGTGTCTGCCTCCCTTTTTCCCACCCTTTTCAAAAATGCAGTTGACTCTCCTCAGTGTCAGGGGTTTTGCTAAGTCCTTTACGGGTGTTCTCTAGCTCAACCTCATAATAAGCCCTAAGGCAAGTGCTTCCAAAACTCACATTTATCCTCTAAAGAAAATGGAGTTCGGGCAGGTGGAGGGACTGCCCACGGTCATACACACCAAGGTCGGGGGAGACTGTGACCTCTCACCTGCTTGACCCCAGAGCCGTGGAGTGACCACCGCCCACCCTGCAGCTTCCCTGACCTCATGCAAACTCAGGAGGCCAGTTAAACGGAGCATCTCGGCCATGTTGGGGGAGCAGAACCCCTAATCTCCTCGTTTGCAAAAACCAGCAAGTGACATCACCCCCAGAGAGCATATCAGGATGGAGCCCAGAAGTCTGCACTCCCATCAACTTCCATTAATTACTGATTATCGAGGAAGGGGTCTTCACCCACGCTCGGATCTCCGTGGCTCGCTTTAGACTTTAAGGGTGACAGTCCTAGGATGTCGAAGAGAAGAGTGTGGAAACAGTTTCAGTGCACGTGGAGGGGGACCTGGGTCTGCCAGGCTGTTCCTCCAAGATAAACCTCCTCAGAAGGCTCAGAGGACATCTGACACTCCAGCCACTTTAATCACACTCACAGCCACACTCAATCCCCACGTCATGGGAAATCAATAAGAAATTAGAGAGCTCCCAGTGAGTTTCTGGGCAATCTTCTGTGGGCTTCTTGGATTGGGTTATATTTTTTCCATCTTTACCTTCAGTTTGGGAAACTGCATTGTTATTCCCATCTACCACTCCTTGGCCCGAAATACCCCAACTGGCAGAACTCCTTGCTGTGTGTGCACCCAATATGCACAATGACCAAAAAAAGAGGCTGAGACTCAGTGTTGATACTTGGAAGGTAATTATTTCTACTGAAATAGACTGTAAACAAATGTTGCCCACCTCTAACTTATAAAACGCTCAGGTTCAACCCTTTGAACAAAACGACGTCTGCAAACCAACTGTTTTACAGAAGCAAACTGCTGGAGGAATGCTGATAGCCCGCCTCGCAACTCAGAGCAGCTGAGGTTGCAGCAAACAGAGCTCTGAAGTCGGAGCCTGATGCTTTCCGTCGGGCACACCTGCTGGGGACGACGTGGTCAAGGAGGGCTGGCCCCGAGCTGGAGCTAGCACGCCTCTCTAGGGCGCCAGTCTTCAGCGTGCCCTGCGTGCCTGTGAGATGATCCTTCTCTCGTGGTGACCATCCAGCAGCTGCACCGTCGGGACCAGGTCACTGACCCAGCGCGTCTTCCCGCTGCCGGCTCTCGGTCTGGGGTGAGGGAGACAAGCTCAAAGTCTGCCTACGCGCTGTGGGCTGGCGGTAAAACCCCCTCGGGTTTCCACTTGCTGAATGAGTTCCTACGGAGAAATCTGCGGGCATCAAGGTCCTGCGTGGCCCCAAGCCTGGCCGCTTCCTCCCGTGTCCGTCCACGCTGTCATCAGAGTTCCCCTCGGCATCCCCCTCTCCCCAGCTCCGTGTCTGTGAAACGGACAAGAAAGTGACTGAGTTACCGTAAAATCGCCTTCCCAGCCACAGCAGACGTTCCTGGATGCAGTCACACCTCCCCCCATTAACCGACTGTGTGTCCCTGGGCAGCTGTTTCACCGCGTGGGGCCTCAGTTTCCTCTCCTAGAAAACAGGGCCATAACCCACCCCGGAGTGCATTTTAGGAGTGAGGGGCCAGAGTGAAGGTGTGAGTGAGGTCAGGGAAAGGTAACCCACCGCCCAGCACCGTCATCCTCAGAGCCTCTCGGGAAACCCAAGGGTCGGGCGTTCCAGAAGCACGTCGGCCAGGGCAGCGGGACGCACGTCTGTGGCCATGTGGGGACCCACAGCTGAGGTTCCCTAAATGGAACAGATGTGTCGGAGGAGGGTGGTCCAAGAGGGCCAGACCAGAAAACTAAATTGTCATTACCCACCTTCCTCACATACAGTTAGCAAATGATGATTTTGCTAAATTTGCTTCATACCTTTTTGTGCAAAAGACAGAAAACCTCACAGATACAAACGAAGCCACCCTCTGGGCCTGTGTTCCTCCCTGTGTCCCAAGGGAGTTGGGACATGTCTGAGCTTTACCACCCGTGTGGAGGCACGAATGCTGTGTAACCTCTGTGTTCTTATAACTCATTAACCGTAGCCTCTGGGTATGATTTTGCAAGTTGCTTTTATCATCTAACATTATATTTTAGAGCTTCATCTACGCAGAGGCATCTAGATCTAGTTCACTAAAGCCTAAGTGCCACCCAGCGTCCAGGGTGTGAGCACACGATTCCCTCGCGTTCCACCCCGAGGGCAAGGCCTCCCTGACCTCCGCGTCGCCCAAACCCGATGGAGAGAGAGGCCACGTGTTCCTTTGATTTGGGGGGTCTAGGGGCCTGTGCAGGGACCCGGGGGCACTCGGAGAGCAGCTAGGAATGGCCCCGAGTGGGAACACACTCCCCGCCCGCATCCACCCCACTCGGTCCACTCCGGGCACCTCACGGGGCGGGGTCCCATTCTCTGGGCCCTAACCCCCACCTGCAGGGGTGCAGTCAGTTCTGCGGGCCTGTGATCCAAGGTGCTGCCCATGTGGTCTCCCCATGGCCTCCAGAGAGTGCCAGGCTGGCTGGTGTCCGGAGGCCGAGTGTTGCAGGGGGTCACCTGCAACGACGCCCTCGGTCGGGCCACAGCCTCGGGTCACGCTGTCTGTTCTCACCTCCAGGTACCAGCAGCGCCGACGTGAAGGAAAACCGCAACGTGAGCAACCTGGAGGCCAGGCTGCCACCCTCCGGGGACAGGGCCCGAGGGGGCGCATCCGGCCTGAAGAGGAAGCGGCCACTGGAGGAGGGCAACGGCGGCCACCTGTGCCAGCTGCGGCTCCTCTGGAGGAGGCTCTCGTGGTCCGTGGCACCCAAGAACGCGCTGGTGCAGCTGCACGAGCTGCGGCCGGGCCTGCAGTTCCGCACAGTGTCGCAGACCGGCCCGGTGCACGCGCCCGTCTTCGCCGTGGCCGTGGATGTGAACGGGCTCACCTTCGAGGGCACCGGGCCCACCAAGAAGAAGGCCAAGATGCGGGCAGCCGAGCTGGCCCTCCGGTCCTTCGTGCAGCTCCCCAACGCCTGCCAGGCCCACCCGGCCCCAGGCGGCACAGCCCCGGACTTCACCTCTGACCAGGCCGACTTCCCTGACTCCCTGTTCCAGCGGTTCGAGCCCACGGCCCCCAGCGAGGGCTTCCCGGGCCGCCGCCCTGCTGCCCCCGACCTCTTGTCCACAGCCTGCCGGCGGGGCCGGCTACTGGGCCGCCCGCTGGACCTGGACCTGGACCTGGGGGGCCCCGTGACTCCAGGTGCGAGGAACCCAGTGGTGCTGCTGAACGAGCTGCGCTCGGGCCTGCGCTACGTGTGCCTCTCGGAGCCCGAGAAGAGGCGCGCCCAGAGCTTCGTCATGGCCGTGAGCGTGGACGGGAGGACATTCGAAGGCTCGGGACGCAGCAAGAAGCTGGCCAAGGGACAGGCGGCCCAGGCCGCCCTGCAGGCCCTCTTCGACATCCGGCTGCCTGGCCACGTCCCCAGCAGGAGTAAAAGTCACCTCCTGCCTCAGGTGAGAGCTCTCTGGTAGCTGCTGGCGGGCAGCGTCCTCGGGGTGCAGAGGTGCCCAGGAGCGGGGACAGGGAAGCAGGAGGACCCCCTGCTCTCTCCCTGTGAGTGGGGGGCGCCCGCACCCCCCCCCAGACAAGCCAGGCACTGCCTCTCCTGCTGCAGCGTCGGAGCCGTGTGCCGGCTCTGGGGAGAGAGAGCCTGGAAGCGTGTGAATGGAAAAACTGTTGGTCCCGACTTAGCAGAAGGAAGGGAGAGCTGGGCAGCTGGTCACCTTGGTGATGGTGACACTGGCTGTGCAGGGGGCAGTGGGGGCAGCAGGGGTTTGGGGCGGCAGGGTTCCTGACCCCGGAGAGGACTGAGGGGCAGGAAGGCCCCTCAGTGACTATCTGCGGCTGGGCCGAGGGAGCCTGCGGTGGGAACGCGAGTTCGGTGCTGTTTTGGGCTGAGTTTCTGGCTCCGGAGGCTGGAGGACGCTGCCTGAGCCGAGGGCCAGGCGGAGGGAGGAGCTCCGGGCTGGGACTTGCCTCATGCCGCCTCCAGGGCCTCCTCACACTAGAGAACACGCGTGCTCCTCAGAGAGCTCACCTCCCTCACTCGGAAGTGTTTCGTGCACCGTCCTTGTGTCGGGAAGTGTCCTTGTACCACTTTGCAAGCTCTTCCTTCCTATTCTTGTAACTGCTTATTTATGCAAATTATCTTTTTTCTTACCATTTTGAGAACTATGTGTGGGCATCTCTAATGTATGAGTTATAGGAAGTTATTCTCTTTCATTTTTGGCATCAATGAAGGAGAGAAAGGTTTTACAGTCAAAGGCCTTTAGCCCAGCTCAGGATCCATAGTCAGAACTCAGCACTTGTAAGTCATTGCTCAGATCAGGGCATCTTCACCTCACAGCACCTCAGGTAGAATCCACTATTTGCCTCAGGAGGTCACGTGTCCACTAGAGAAAGCAGGGCACCACCCAGATTCAGGCAACTGGAGGGGTTCTGGACAGTGAACCAAACAAATGCACTAGGACAGAACCCTATGTTGAATCACGACCAGGAGCAAGCATCCACCCATCCATCCATCCATCCATCCATCCACCCATCCATCCACCCATCCATCCATCCATCCATCTTTCCATCCATCCATCCATCCATCCAACAAACATTTATTTGACTCTGGCAGGTGCAGAGCACAAACGGGCACAGCAGACGTTGGTCTGGTCCCCACAGCTTGGCCGTGTGAAGGTTCCATTGAACAGGGAACCCCATGAGGGGGGCAGCTGTTTCTCCTGCTACCTCTGCCCCCAAATCATTCATTTATTTTCAAATATTTACTGCACCATCCAGGAGCGGATTGGAGGCGGGTAGCCCATAACCTCCATGCATCTTGCCTTTCAACCCACCCTCAGATAATACACAATCCAGGGAAAATCGGGTGTGTGGCGTTGACATGAGTCCCCGCCAGAAACACTGCAGCCCTGCTGTCCCTTCCTTACTCCTCCTCTTTTCTTCTCTTCCTCCTTCCTGCCTGGCGTCTCCACCCACCAACCACCATCTATAGCTCAAACCCACCAACAGCTCCCAAGGAAGCCCCTTTGCCCCCCACGGCCTGGATGACCCCAGGCTGCCCTTGGCCCGTGTCCTCCTGCCACCGTCCCTGGAAGGCCCCCCTCCCCACGGGCTGTGGGCACCCCCTCCTCCTCTGCCCGATGCTGTTTAGCAAGAAGTGTCCTTCCTCCAGCTCCCACTGTCCCCCCCACCCCAACCCCCATGAGTTGAATGATGTCAGTGAGTTCCAGCCGTGATGCCTTTTCCTTTCATGTTGTCAACCCTGAGCTCTCACGATGCAGGAACCAGGCGGCACCACTACTTTGTAACAGTCATTTGACCCCAGAATGGAGCACATCAGTTAAAGCCACAGCCACTAAATTATTTTTCCCTGACAGTCCGCTAACACCCAGACTGGATGATGGAGAGAGCGGAGCAGCAGGAAGGCTGCAGCCCGTCCATCACACCAGACCCGTCCTGGAGGCTAATTACCTGCTCCCCTCGCCCCTGCAGCAGGGTGGCGGGGCCGGCATGCCAGGCGCTCAGGACCAGGCGCCCTCTGCAGCTTTATTAAATTCGAATCCCACCTTGGACATGGTCTGGGTTCAGGGACTGAGCTTCAAAAAAAAGATTCCAAGGGTCCCTGTAAATGCTGCTTTGCTTTCCTCCTCTGCCCAGCACCATCTACACCACATGCTTCCTACTCACGCAGGTCCTGGTGGCCAGAGGCACAACCTTTGTCACCTGTCTAACTGCACCATCAGCACCTGTGCCAGGAGACAAGCCAGGCCACCCAGCCCTGGCAGGGCCCCCAGAACTGCCGTCCACACCCCCAGGAAGGACAGCTCCCACCACTGAGCTGTGAGGGACCCTGCCCAAGTCTGGGTGGGGTGGGGGGGAGGCGGGGGGTGGCAGCCGCGGTCACCGCTGGAGCGACACAGCTTCTGGACCTTGGGTCTCAAGCTCAGTATTTAATGCTCTCTGCCCGAAGTCTGGGTTCTGCCCCACAGGGAGCGCTTGGTATGCAGGACACACCAGGGGTCTGCTTCTAAGGCTCGCTCGCTGGCTTCTGCCGCTGCAGAAGCAAATGAAGAGATCGCGCCTCTGCTCAGGGCTTTGAACCAAAGGCTCAGTCTCCTCTGAGTGAGGTGTCAGAACCGTCCCTGGGGGAGCTCCCCTATTTAAGTGATGAAAAATGAACAAAAAACTTATAAGGTGTCGGTCGTGTGGAGAGCATGTGTAAAACACCACTCCGGGCCCGGCTGCTGGAAATCCAGGACCAGGCTCCTGCCATGCTGATCCCCACGCAGGTGGGTCAGGACCTGCTCTGTCGGGGGCCCTGGGCTGTTCGGCCTCAGCCACAGAGCAGATCACGGCAGGGCCAGCTCGGTGGGTCGGATGCTCGCCCCGTTGTGAGGACAACTCTGAACAACATAGCCCCCCAGACGTCCCTCGGGTCAGACCCCCAAGAACTACCACCCTCGGCGCCCAGACATCACCTTCTGTGGACAAGTGAGGTGTCTGCCCGGCCAGGCTGAGGTAAAGTTTCAGCCTCCATTCTAAAACAGTTCTGAAGAATAACATTCTCAATAAAGATTAAAATCACAGGCATCAATTTCTGCGGTATCAGATTTCCACCATTTCCTCAACCTGGGGGTTTTCTTAGAACCAGGCTGATTAGTTCCTTCAATTTCATGAGATCTGACTTCAGGTCTCTTTGCCAGAGTGATGAGAACACGACTTTATTAAATTCTCTAACGGCACAGGCCCAGGCGAATGGGCGCTCTGCAAATACCAGCTGACACGGTGAAAGAAGAGCCCAGGGGTTGGTGGGAGAGCCAGCCCTCAGATTTCCTTTAGGTTCACAGGAAGCTTGGAAGCAATAAAGAGACCATGTCAGAATATAAATGCTCATTACCTGGAACATCCTTGTTATAAAAAAAACAAAAGTAAAATCACAAAATCTAGATCTCTGTGGTCTTCACTTCCCACCCCTAGCAGGAAAAGACTTAATAACAGCGTTAAATTCAACCAGAAAGGCTTATCTCTCAGCATTTTGGCTCCGTGGAAACAGAAGAGCTCCCACGTGATGAGAGAAGAAAGAAAGTGACTAAAAATTACGGTGATGCAGGAAGGGGGAGAGGTGGTGACACGTCGCCCCTCGTTTGAAAACTACCAGGTTTATTATCTTGTTCCTGAGTCTGTCTTCACCCGCAGTGATTCCCTTTGTTTGTTTGGTTTTGTTTTTTTAATTTCCATGTCAGGCTGCAGTGGAACTAACAGTGTCTCAAAGATTTAGTCAAAACAACTGAAACACTTTCTCCCTGAGAGTAAGAGGGGGATGCCTTTAAAACTAACCATGAAGCCTGCTTGCTTCTCAAGCCCTTTGCAGGTCCTTCTAGGGAGCGGACGTCCCCCTGGCCATTTCTCAAGCACTCGGCACACTTAACCCACACCTACTCTGTTCCCTGGTGGTGCAGCTCTCACTGCTGGGTTGGGGGGGAACCATGGGGACATATAACATAATGGAAGTGAACAGTGCTTTCAGAGTTTAGCATTTTATAGCAAACTTGGATCAGAGCTCCCATACGCAATCCATTTCATGGAATCTGCCCCCAGAATTAGCTGAATTAGACCAGGGGCCTGACTGTCACCTCGTTCTCAACAGCTGCACATTGGGACACAAACAGACCTGCTGTCCTCCCAAAAGCCAGCGTGACCCCCGCCGCCCCGGACACTTCACAGGTTGTTTTTGTAATTTCACAGTCCTGCCTGTCTGTCTCCTTCAACAGAGGCAGCACCTTAACTGCTGTAACACAGAACTGTTAATATGGATGCCACAAATTAGCGTTGGAGCTGTCCCCAGATTTTAAATGGGCTTGGATTACAAACAGTGTGGAAATCACACCTACTTGGCTTTGAGATGGTTTAACACTGTCCGAGATGTTCTACCCAAGGGCACCCTGAAATTGCAGCAAACGCCTGCGGGGTCCCCCTCATGAGCCCGGGTGCCTCACTCTCCCAGACGCTTGGGTCGGCTCTGCCCTGGCCGCATGTCCAGCCCCAGCAATTCCAGAATGACCTCCGAAGGACAGCTGCGGCTTTACAGGTCCTACAAGCAGAAGGGGACAGTCCCGGGTCCTAATTATTTTCCTGAAAAGGGCTGATTTCTTTCTGCCTCAGCAAGGCGTTCCTCATGGCCACACTTTCTTGGCTGTTTACCTTCTGTTTCCCTGGGCGGTTGGGATTAGGACGGGACCCCACCGCATCCTGAGACCCACCAGCACAGCAGACCCCGACTTAGAGCGACTCTGGCCACAAAGACCCCAAGCTGAGGAGCTGGGTTCCTGTGCATCTCTAGACAGAGCAACACATCTGGTCTCTGGGGACCCCCCCTGAGCCCTGCAGGCTTTGGCAGAAGGTGCCGGGGGTCTGGGAGTGGGGTGGTGTACAGAACCCACCTACC